ATATATATATATATAGATATCTATATATATAATATATATATATATATATAGATATAGATATAGATATATAGATATAGATATATATCTATATCTATATATATAAAGGTTTTAGAAAAGGTCAAACATGAAGAAACGTTTTTTAGATATAATTTAAACCCGATAATTAACTTTTAATACTTAAACTTTTAAATCTTAAACACGGAGTGTTTCAAAACCGCACACGCCTGTTACCTTCAATTCCACACGGTGGCGGTAGCGAGTCTCGAGGCTGTTTGCTAAACCGTTTCGATAAATCCAAATCAGGAAGAAAAAATGAGCGGCTAATGCTAACTGGTTAGACGTTAAACGTATCATAGCAGTTGGAAGCATACATTTTGTTTGGAGTTATTTTAAAATTCGGAGTTTATAAAATTCTCACACCGAGACACAGGTAAGACACGAGTCTCGTCGCAGCAACTATATCCCACCTAGCTCGGAACTAAGAGCTAGTTGCTACAAGCTAACTAGCTAACATTATCCATTAAACAGAACCTTGCTGCTGTTTATGATACGTAGCTAAACAAATTGTTACAAATATTCCTCCGCAGTTGCTGCTACGTATATTAACTGTTATATCCATTTTTAATTTACTTTTTGAAAAATTGGGAATGCAGGCCTTTTGCTAACATCACATGTAAACAAAGGGGAGAAAAGCTACAAAGATCATTTGATTATAAAATTATAGAGTTACTATCTGGCGTTGTGTATATTGCTTTATGACTTGAGACACATTTGTCTTTAATAATCCTTTCGATATTTTTTTTAATTTATTTTAAATTTTTTATTTTACTTCTTACTGCTTAAAACTGTATCTGTTTTATCTGCTTTAAATGTAATTTAAGGTTCCTACAATAATAAGCATTTTCTACCAAGCAGTATCCAGTACTAAAATGTGTACTGGGTGGTAATTGCAGAAGTTGTTGAATCTAGTGGCTTCTATATTTTCTTAGCCTATTGTAGTTTTAAATATTAGTCCTATATCAACATAAACTTTCAATTTCAAGTCACGGGTCTATGTCCTGCAGAGTAACCCTTTCTTCTTTAGTGGTAATCACTTTAATTAAAAATTAATATCTTCAAAGAAAAGAGACAGGAATTCAACTTATACATTTCCAAAATAAAATGACACCACAGAGTGTAAGTTTGTGTCATTAGGCTGAAAATAATAGGCTCCTTGTTTGTTAAACGGGGCCAAATTTCCTTTAAATGTGGAAATTACTCATATGTAGCCTAAAGTAGTTTTATTTTTTGTTTCTACCATTGATGTAGATTTCCAAAGTTTTCTGATTCGATATTTAATTTTACAAGGTAAAAATAACAGTAAATATTAGTATCAATAAAACAATTTAATATAAATCACTGTAAAAGAACAACATTTTGCAGCTGTTTACTGATTTTATTTGTTAGGAGGTGGACAAAAGTGTCTCTCTAAATTGCAAAGGCTGCTCACCCTTATTCTGGACAAATCAGCCCATATAATAAATCTACATCTGCTTTATTTCAGATTATAATGTAAAATAAAAACTGACTTTTTTCATATATATCTTTAGAACATTATGGAAAGTGTAAGTAAAACAATACCCTGATATTCAAAAAATGCTTTAGAGGAGCAATACGCAAAAAATCACTACAATTATCTCAAATCATTGTCATTTGGAAGTAACATTACCTATAAATAATCAATTATCTTCATCAACAATGTATTAGTCAAGTTTTTCTCTTTTTAAACCGGAGCTGCTTGGTGCAGTGTGTAGCTTGTGTTTACGTCTGGGATCTTGAACCAATCATATGAGGAGTTCCCAGCATTGCCAACAAAGAGCACAGCATCTTATCATTCATGATAAAAATACTAAACCAAAATACTTATGTTGTTAATTGTATGTTTCAAATACACCTCACAGTACAAATTTAATACACTTTTCCATTAATGATGCTTCCCTCAGTAAATGAGGAGATGCAGGCCAGCGAACCAGTGGTTGGTGCATCAGTGGGAGTGTCTGGTGTTCAGAGTCGGTCGGAGGATGAAGAGTCACTGAGCATGAAAGACGTGAAAAGGACGGCAGCACAAGCGTTTGGAGGCGGTGTTCCCAAGAGGAGAAGTTCATCCAGGTATTGTTCCAATTTAGACAAAACAATACTTTATAAAAAAAAAAAAAGGATATTAAAGAGTGTTTCTAATTATGATTTTTCTGAAATAAAAGATCAATAAAAAGAAAGAAGTTTGATGACGAGCTGGTGGAGAGCAGTCTGGTCAAGTCGTCCAGCAGAGTCAAAGGGCCTCCTGTCATTGAACCTATACGCTGTTTGGGCAGTGAACCTTCATCCATTGAAAAGAAAAAGGTACAAACCATTTTAAAGTATTTTAGATCGTCAGGAGCGAGGTATTAAGTAGGTTTATATGCTGATGGATTTTTTCCTTATTATTCTTATGTGAGGTGCCCAAGTCAGGAACTGCCCTCACACCACCTCTCACTATGGTATTAAACCCTTCACCTCTGCCCAAAAGAGTAAAGAAAAGCAAGCAGCCTTTACACATGACTAAAGACTTGGGACGCTGGAAACCCACAGATGACCTTCTGCTAATAAATGCTGTGCTACAGGTGAGCACCAAAAACACTAGTCAGTGCTCATTTGCTCACTTGTTTATTGCTTTTGTAGTGGTTTTATATTATGTGACACCAGAGTGAAATGTGGAGTTAATTCATCTGTGTCTTTATCTCACGCTTCCAGACTAGTGATCTAACTTCTGTTCATCTGGGGGTCAAGTTCAGCTGTCGCTTTACTTTGCGGGAAATTAAAGAGAGGTGGTACGCATTGCTGTATGACCCTGTCATCTCAAAGTAAGAACTTGGTTTGGTTCTGATTAGTTTTTTTTAAATCATGCTTTCCACTTTGGTGCTCTAAGCATATTGCTGGTTTTGTGTCATTCCGGCAGGCTCGCATGGCAGGCCATGCGGCAGCTTCACCCAGAGGCAATCGCAGCAATTCAAAGCAAAGCTCTCTTCAGTCAGAGTGAACAGGCGCTGCTGGCCAAGATCGGTTCAGTAAGTGACTCACTACATTTTATTTTTTATTTTTATGAAGGTTAAGTTGAAATTTGATCAAGTAAATTTTAAGGAACATTAAATATATTAGAAATATAATATAATTAGAAAACTCCAGTTAGAGATTCTGTAGTAGATTTCTAATCACTGATTTTTCAAAGCTTTGTCCTGCCATTTTCAGTGCATTTAAAATGTGCGGAAAATGTTTGTTTCTTAGTTCCAAAACTTGTGTGTTGATTTATAATTTTGTAGCATTTATTTTTAGATTATTGAGTATTCATCAGACGGTGGATCCTGAAGACCAAGGGCTCCCAAACTGTTGATTGGTTATACAGATATTATACAAAATCAATTAACCATGATTATGATCATTATAATACATAAGCATCAACAACCACTTTGTTTTCTTTTGCCTATTTCTAAGACATTTTTCTATATCTGTTAGTAAAAAAAATATAAATATTCTCCAAGTTTCTGTGGCGGATACCAAGATTCAATACTTGCATATCCATGACTCCAACTTTGGGAAGCAGTGTTATGGACCAGCAGTTCCCAGTCATTTCAGCCTGAGACTGATAAAGTAACTTTATTAGAGGCTGATTACTCTCTGTTGGCGACCCCCTACATTGCCAGTGATTGGACTAATTATATGCATTTTACAATAATGCGTATTGGAAAATGGAAAAGGTTTTTATGAAAAATGAAATAAAATTTATATTCATATCAATTGTAAGTTTAATTAATTCAGTATGTAAAAATACATGTCATACTTTAATGGGGTATTTATTTAGTTCTTGAAACTAAATACATACACCATTAAAATACACCATTTATTTCATTATATGTTTATTGACTTTTGACCCTTTTTTTCCTCCATACATCTTGTGGATTATTTTAGAAGGGCCCAGAACCCCACTTGGGGAACCCCTGTTGTAGATAATAGCTTGTAGATGAACCGATGAACCCTCCAGAGATCTAAAAACGGCAGATCAAATACAGAAAAATCAGTTTTCTTTTTTCCATTTTCTAAAACTGGTTTAAATTAAGAACTTTAAATGTAATGGTGTATGAATGCATCAACCCACATCATGATGGTTCATACACTTTTGTGAGTTTAATATAAATCTGATAAAGATTAGGGTCCTACTGATGTGAACAAGCAAGGATTATCCTGTAATTTCTCCAATGTTCTGATGGATTTATCTGCGGTAGATTTTCTATATTTAAAAACCGACTTTCAGCCTGATCATGCATCTTGTAGTCTAGAGGGGGTAATGAGGGGCAATCAGCCACTCACGACCACCTCCCGATCAGGAATCGTGAGGGCGGGAGAAAAAATCAAACATGTTTGATTTTCAGTCGACCGTCGTGGGCAAATCGCTGAGTGGGCATGCTTGAACAAGGATTCTTCTTCTTCCTCTGAGATGAAAACACAAAAGCATGTTGGATGTGCGAGTTAAATGGAGTTGTTTCTGTAAAATTGACAGACCGTAGTAGCCATGTTTGCTTAGCCATGTTTTTGTCCAAATACGTTGTCGCCTTTTCTTTTTAGGGATTTCATAACACAAAAATGCACAAATTGCCAAGGCTTCACTCTAGTGAGCTTCATATTCCTCTTCTACTCATTGGCTTCCGGATAGACATCTCGCTGCGGGGCCGAGTCCAACCTTAGTTTTTAGATGCACAGTTTGAGCAGGTAGAGTGCATCAGAGCGTCGAGTCGCACAGTGTGAGAAGATACGCTGTGAGCTGTGAACTTTTAAACCCTGCAGTTTCATTGACAGTGTGAGCTATGGCTGTGTGCGATGATTGAAAATATCTCACAGTGTATGCCCGGCTTTAAAATAAAATTCTCCCTAAACAGACCAGTCAGCCCAAAATGGAAGTTTTCCTGGAGCTTCTGAGCAAACACCCCGGCATCTTTCACCCATCTCGCACCCCGAAGAGCCTGAGTGTTCACTGGCAGCTGCTGAAGCAGTATTACCTGCTAGATGACCAGAGTGGTGAGTTTTGTTACTCAGTTGTTTCACAATACGAGATGCACCGCTAAGTAATAAACGATATTGCTAAAGGTTATCTTGGCTGATATCTTTATTTTTTTCAGGGAGTTGTGTACCAGAACCACTAATAGTTTATTCGCCTCATTTTTGTCTTGCAGTTCAGCCGCTTCCTAAAGGGGATCAGGTGCTGAACTTTTCTGATGCTGAGCAGATAGTAGATGACATAAAATTAAAGTGAGTCTGTTTTAACTGTGTATTCACAGTCCCATTTTTTAAGGTGTTTGATCTGCTTTGCTAAAAGCTGTTGTTTTTCATGCAGGGATAGTAGAGACGAAGCACTGGAACACGGTAAGAAACCTGGTTGTACATTTCAGCTGTAGGGGTTTGACTGGAGGGGTCAAATATCCTTCTCGGTCAAATGTCTTCATGTCAAGCGTTACATCAGTCCAAGCTTTAGTTACTCATTTCTTCAGCTTCTTGATAAGGAAGTGAATATTTGGTTCTTTGCTGACAGCAGCTATTGACAAACACTTTGTGTCTTTCTTAAGTTCAATATTATATATCTCCTGTTCTCACGAACACATTTTTGGAAACCCTTTGAGAAAACGCTGTTTTGGTGCTTTTCTTTTTTTAACTTATGCTTTGATAATGAATCACATTTTCTGAGCTGGATAAATGTAGAAAATTACAAGAGTATAACTTTTTTTTTTTTTTTCAAAAATTATCTCCAATATCAGTGTCTCAGCTGTCTTCCTTCCTTCCTTCCTTCCTTCCTTCCTTCCTTCC